CTTGTTTCTCATCTGCTTTGATGCACAGGTGGTACCTTTTGGCAAGATTAATTTTAATCATAGGGTAGGGTGCCATGAGTCTGATGATGGTAGTCAGCTATATCACTTATCCCTGTGCTCTGAGTTCTTTCCCTGTCCTGCATTAATCCTTTATGGAGATCTCCAGATGGATAAATCAGAGCTGCCATGTCCTGAACCCTGGGAAAACAGAATGTTCATGGAGTTGTTGAACTAAGACAGTTCTTTTTTGTGAGCGTGTACCCCCATACAGAAGGAGTGCCGTGGAGGTGAAGTGACAATAAGTTCTGGCATAATTTTGGAAAATTTCAATTCCCTGTAAAGACTGGTGTGATGATGTTAAGGAAAATGATTCGGCTTTTTAAGTGGAACACCTTTATTGCTTGTGACTTCTTAAAATTTCATGCTGGCTTTGAAATAACAAGTCACCCTCCTGCCCATGAGGCTTCATTATTGTAATTCCCAGAGCAGTGCTAGTAGCTGAACATTTCTGCAATGTCCTCAGAAAACACTAAACTACAAGCTTATCCTTTGAAGTAACTGTGATTGCCTGATTAATTACAGTTCTTCACTGGTTCACTATAAAGCAGCAAGATTGATTTAACTGGCACAGTTGTATTCTTGTTGTTATTTTTCAGCTCAAAGTTGCCTTGAAAACTCAGCCTAATATGCAAATGGATACCAGCAACCTTTAGTTTCTCAAAGGCAAGAAACAAACAGCTCATCAGCTGTTTACTGTGCTACCTTTGTATTAATATCCTCAATCATTTTTGTTGCTGGCAAAAACATTATGTAGTTTTAAGATATATAAAACAATTATGAATAGAGAAAAATAGCACTGTTTTGAATTTCTGATATATAAATAATAACCCAGGACTAACTAGTTAACAATTATTTTGAGGAGCAGTGTGGATAATGGATCGTGTTTGTAATGGACTCACAGGTACTCTCGAGGGTGGATTCTCTAGTGTTTAATAAAGAGATGATCCTCTGCCTCTTTCTCAGTGGAAACCCTAATAATCTCTGTCTGCTATCTAGCTGCCTGTTTTAATAAAACTTCATGTATCTGGTACCTCCACCCTTGTGTCTAAAGTGGTTGTCAAATAGCTGAAAGTTTCAAAATTCTTAGCAATAAAGTTACACAAAACAAGAGAAAGTTGATCATGTAATATTGTTTCTTCAGGTAAAGGTGGTTGATACACTATTTCCTATTACTCTACAAGGATGTTTTCAAGAAAATAGTTTTTTCCTTTCAGATCATTATATTCAAGAGAAAAAGTAGCATAGTGTCCAAACATTCAGCAAGAAGGGAACTTCCGTGCAAAACAAGTAGCAATAGGGAACAGAAACTTGATGACACGTTTTCCCCATAGTTTCCATCTCTCCCAGGTTCAGTTTGAGCTGGACATCATTCAAAAATGGAAGGCAAAGTAGTTTCTGGAAGTTATGGAAATTATTTTCACATGTTAGACATGGAGTGGCATTGGTAGTAGAACAAAAGGGATTGTAATTTTAAAGGATGTTGTCCACGGTGAGCCATGTGATCCAGGCTTTTCTTCTTAGGAAGAGGAGGGAGTCACCTCAAAAGGTGTTTTTGGAGCCCATGCAATCATACAAGAAGTCTATATACCAGAATAGGTGGGAGGAGAAACCTACAAAAGAATTTAAAACAATAGGACACAGACAAGAGAAAAAGAAGTTTGCCAAGGTCAGGAAAATTTCTCTCTGTGGCTGAGCTTCTGTGATTTCCATATGCACATGGGAATATTTTTATAGGTACTAATAACAGTGGTAAATTAAAGGGTGAACATAGACACATTCAAAACATGAAACATATATTCCCTTGGTGGGACAGGACATTAGTGTGCTGAGTTAGCATTTGCTGGGAGAACATTTCAGGGAATATAGGGACAAGCAGTGGTGATGGCAAACTAATTTTCAGATTTTGAGCATGTTCAGTTTGCATATGTATGCAGTTCTTCATGTAGTAAGTCCCATCTGTGAAGTAGGCAATACTCCACTGCTTATGAATGGCATTCAAATACTTTTTTTTCGTTGTTTGGGTATTTTTGTCCTGTCTTGGTGTAAAAGTAATGAACAGAATTGCTAACGTTTAGATTCAGAAAAGCATATTATTAGTTTTGAGAAGATGCAAAAAGGTTCTGGTTCAGTAAAGAACTTCAATATATACCTAGTTTTCATTACACTGACAGTTTGAAATGTACTACAGTGTCCTTATGGAACACTTCATTTATCTTTTCTGAACTGTATTTCCTACACAATCTAGACCTTATGCTTAATGCTTTTGTGTACTGAAACATTGAGATACACATCCTATAACAGAAGGTCTGACATTTTTGTCTCTTGTTTGTTTTTTAAAGCACTTTTGTGCAATGGAAAGTTTCACAAGCACTTGCAAGAAATTTTTGTTCCCATGGTTGTCCGCTACATTGATCTCATGGAATCATCTATTGCCCAGTCCATTCACAGAGGTCTTGAACAAGAGTCATGGCAACCTGTCAAGTAAGTGCTTTTTACAAAATCTGAACAGAGCACCTGCCTATAGCTTTCTGTCTAATAAGGGGTTCTCCCCTGTTGTCCTTTAAATATTCTATTTTTTATTGTATTCCTACATTGTTTATTTCTTCACAGGAGCATCACCAACAGTCTTCCTAATGTAGCTCTTCCAAAAGTTCCAAGTTTGCCTCTTAATCTTCCACAAATACCTAGCTTTACTACACCAACCTGGATGACTTCTTTGTATGACTCCACGTGTGTATTCTTCAATAACTTTCTGACTGTATGTCAGCTCTGCATGGCCTTGCTAGTGTTCTGTGCAGCTATATTTGGATTGCATGGTGTTTATCCTCTCTTAGTTGGAAATTGTTGTTTCTTGGGAGTGAGCCGAGCATGGACTGTTAGTGAGTTGCGCTTTCTAGTGCATTAAAATGTAGCAGTCTTAAACCTGGTAACTTAGAAAATCCAACTTGGCAAAGGTCTGTCGTAGCAGGAATGATGTTTCATACTCTAAACAACCTAATTGCTCTTTTGAATTAACAAGCAGTGGGGAACCTTTTGGATGATTGATTTGAGATTTTGGTTTTGTAAAAATGAGGCAGCCCATTGTATTTTTTGCATGGGTTTGATTAACTCATTTTATATTGGTTCTGAAAGTCATTGATTGTAAATATTGTCATCAGATTAAATATCCATGTCACAGAAAATAGTAAAATGTTAATAATTACCAATAATAGAAATACATCTCTTTCTTTGTCTGCTTGAAAAAAAAAATCTTTCTGATTTTTCCCCAATATTTCAGAGCTCTGTGGAAATATTCTCATAGTTACAGGTCTGATTTCTGTGTGAGGACACATTAATACATGTTAGAGAAAGGCTCAAGAACCTTATTTTAGCAAAAGTTATATTAGGATAGCATGAATGTGAAAGACTTCAAAAAACACACATTCAAAACACATACATTGATAATATCATTTCAAGACAAGTGTTGCCTTTTCAAGTTTTATGACAGACTTCAAAATAGCATTAGATCTATTTCTGCAAGAGTTAATACAATCATAGAATACCATGCTAAAAGGATTCTCAAGGATCATCTCATCCAACTTTCCTTGGCAAAAGCATGGTCTGGAATGGCCCAGCACCCTGTCCAGACAAATTTTTAAAATGTGCAATGCTGGGGAATCCACCATTTCCTCTGGGTGAGATTATTCCAATGGCTGATTGTCTTAATTGTGAAAAATTTCCTCTACTTTCTAATCAGAAACTCCCCAGAAGTAACTTGAACCCATTATCCCTTGTCTTTTTCATGTGACTCCTTGTAAAAAGGGAGTATTATGATTGTTGTTCTGCTGTTAATTCCCCTAAAATGTGACAGAGTTCCTCTTAATCCTTGGCTTTGGTACCTTTTGTGTTTACTATAGTAATTCTAGGTTTCTCCTGATGTGCTTATGCAAGTCATTTCAGCTTTGAATACAAACTAATTGGCCTTCTGGAACTCAAATTCCTTTCTGTTATCCCCAGGTTTTCAAAGGTCACTTTTTTCTTAAAGAATAGCTTTTGGAGTTAAGAGTTGCTAATCTTGGATGTGCTCTTGTAGTCTGCTTTCTAGCAGCCACATCAAGTAAAAATAAATTGTGTAGATGAAATTTCTTGTATTTTGAATACTGAGTTTATAAATAATACAGATTCGGTTGTAGGATTATAGTGGTTGATCTTCCCTAAATGAGGGGTTTGATGAAGCAATATATTTGCTAGACTCTATTGTCAAAACACTTGGAAGCATAGTAAAATTCAGCAATGGGCTCCTCCCTCTTGCACATGTTCTTATATTTAGTTTCATGGTATATGTGAAACAGTATGCATAACATCCTAAACCAACCAGTGAGGTTTTTGTAGCATTTGGTGAGCAGTGAGGTTGATATGCTGTAAACACTGGCCAGAAGTAGCTGCCATTCTGCTGCTTTTCAAAAGAAATGAGGGCGAGCAGTGTCTCTTACTGCAGTTGTGATCTTTGTAAGGCCATCACTCCTTTCAGCCACCCCACACAGCATTCAAGAAGAGTAGTCTGTTTTTCTTGATTGGTCTCTGGAGAAGATAACTCAGATGACACATTGGCTAGACATGCAGAGCACTAGGAATTACTCTTCCATTTGGGTGAAGATAATTTTAAAGAGCAAAAATGTTTAAATATTTTGTAAAAGCTTTCAATCAGTCCCAATGAGGAGTTTTTCCTTACTTATTCATTAATTCAAATATACTATTTTAAATTGCTCTTCATATTTTAAATACCGGGGGTTTTTTTGCATCTTCTGTACTTGGTTTTTATGTGAGATATGTGGGTGATTTTAATTGTTTATGGTTTAATTTATAAATTATTCTTTTCAGTGCAGACATAATGTAGTGTCACTAACCAGAAATATTGTAGATACACACCTGAGATTGTCTGTTGCTATCTGGTGTTGCTATCTGCCATCAGCTTCAGGAAATTTCAAGGCTGGGGCAACCTGGAATAAGATATATGCTTTTAGGAGAATAGTCCAGTCTTGTCTTCCACCCAGAAGAAGCAACATAAAGGAAATGTGTCATCTGTGTTCTTCCTGATATGGCTCAGCTATAATGAGTGATGAGAGAGACAAGGCTGGAGCCGTCACAGTGCTCCAACAGTGATATAGAGGGAGATGTCCTGAATATCTCTGAGCTCCTATGCTGGACCTCTCTGTGTGTCTGTGAGTGCTGAATGAGTCAGGAGGCCATCTTTCATCTCTCTTCTGGGGGGTTGTATCTGCAGTGCCACATACGTTCCTGTCATAGAGCTTACCTCCTGTAAAGTGGTAAGACGCCATGGCCTGCATTTCTAAGGGTGAGTATTTAAAAGTATAGCCATAGGACTGATGGCTTAGTGAAATCTGGCTGACCTGCTTTCTATGGAATAAGGAATTTTGAATAGCTAGATCCTATTAAGCATTCTGAAAGACAAGTTTATATTGTGGGGCAAATTTCTTTCCATCCAAAAATGCTAATATGCAGTAAGAAAGAATACTCAAGAAACTTGTTTTGGTTGCTTGATCCTTAGTTTGCCTCATTCTTGAACTAAGAGCATGGGGTAGCTCTGTTCCCAATGTCTTTGAGGGACTTTACACTGATGCTTTCAGAAGTTCTGCTCCATCCTTCTGCCTCATCTGCTGGTGAAAAGTGGAGAGATGGGGCTGAGTGCAACTGACACTGAAATTACTGAAAATCCGATTCTGTTGAAGAAATTCTCAATTGACTTTCTGAGCCCTGAACATATATTTTGAGGCAGCATACAGAATGAAAAGCTGGAATTCACGAGGGATGTATTGCTTGTGCCATGTTTTGTAAGTGGTCCTCACAAAACGCTAGTGGGTAGTATCTCACTTTCATTTAAAAAAAAAAAGGCAGTAATTTGTAAAATTACCATTCTGGTCCTTGGTCCTTGGTGGATTATAGAAGAATTGAAACCAGCTGCTTTTGAATATTTTCATTGATTGATAATATTCTTAGATATTTAATACTTATATTTTCATATCCCAAGCCATACTATGGAGTTTCATATGTAGGCAAGAAATTATTCATTCTACATCTACTCTAGAGTCATGTGTGGGAGTGTACTTTATCAGTGGGCTGTTTGACTAATTGCTACTGCTTAGGTACCTGGCAAGCCCAGTGGGAAGCTGCCTCTTTCAGCTGTCAGTGGATAAGTGAATTAAGACTGCATGCCTAGGAGGCTACATGCAACTCCTAGATTTGATATGCTGCAGGTTCTTGGAGAAACATTATGTCTTGGATCTTTTTATTTGCTATGTTCAGTATGATGCAAGCCATAAAAAGATTTAAAAGGAACCTCTGGAGATACCTGGTCCACTTTCCCAGTCAAAGTGTGACCAAATGCAAAGTTAAATTTCCATTAAAATAAATGGGAATGTAATGGGATGTGCATAATATTTGCCCCTTTTAATCCCTGGTAACCTTCTTTTACGGCCATGACCTAATTATAAGAATGGACAACTGGACAGTACCTGAAGGGTTAAGTTTTGGCCAGCAAAGCAGTAGAGATTGTGCTTGATTTTAGAACTATGGATAACTATTATAGTTTTTAAAGAAAGAATGTCAGTTCAGTTTCCTGGTAGAGCAATATTATTCCTTTCTTTAGACTGAAGTAGCTTCACCATGCACATTCAAATAAAGAGTTTTCAGTAGCCAAGAATGTGTCCTGTCCCTTCACAAAAAAATAAAAAAATAAAAAAAGGGTCTCAAATTATGGATACGGATTCTGTCTTGATTTGAATGCAGGAATTACTCCTGTGCCAGGAAGATGTAAAATCTGAGTTTAGCTCTTTTTTGCAGCATTTAGCAAACAAATTGGACCTTTGTGTTTGAATGGGTGAACCAGGAACAAACAATTTATGTTATAGCACTTTATTTACTTTATTTTCTGTCCTCATCTTATTAGTATAATATGTTAGTCAAATTCAAATGTCATTGGACAATGCTGAATAAAAAATTGAAGGATGAAAACTCAAAATTATATAAAAAGAGAACAAATAAATTAGCATTTCTCACAACACATTCTTCCATGAATCTGTGCCTGTTTTTACATTTATTATAATTGTGAAACTTTATTTGGTAGTCTAATTAAACAAAATTAAGTGGCTACTACAGTGTCATAGTAAACATAGTAGTAAATGTGCATGAGAATACATTTATGTTATTATGAATACATTTGTCGTCCTGAGTCCTAAAGAATTGCCTTTGGAATTCCATCAGGCAAATAAGAAACAACTATGGGAGAATAAAAAATAGTTAAATTTTATGATGTGATGATGGAAATTATTAGTTTTGTTTCTTGAGAAAATTTGGTTTGTTTTCTAGAAAATATGTGTTTTTATCAACAGTTACATAAATACTGAGATTGTCCCATTTCCGTCCCCATATGATTTGTCTTTTTCTTTTACCCCAGTCTTCTCAAAACTTGATTTAGTCACTTTTGAATCAGATAAGGTCTAAACAAAGCATCTACAGCTTCACTCACTGCCAGGGTACACAGCAGATTCAATGATATCTTCAATATTTGCATGTCATATAACTTTTAGAACAGTCTAACAGGATTATGAATTTTCCAGAGCTTTGGTTGTTTTTTCTTTCTGTTCCTTAATTAAACTTAGTGATGTATGAAAGTGGTCCCTCAACAAGTAGAACCCCAGTGCAAATTGTAACCCTAGCTGTCCCATGTGCCTTTTTCCTGTTTCTGTTGTTTTCTTTCAGGACCACAATACAATACAAAATTAACAATTACCGTGTGACATGGGGAAGCGTATAAATGGGGAAAATACGTATAATACCGAAAAAGCCTAAACTAAAAAATGTGTTGGCACTGTGGAATATCCTGCTCTGCACCACGAAGATACCAAAACCTACACCATTAAACCAGAGCTATCTGAGCTGGTCGCTCAGAGGCAGCCTTTCCTTTGGAAAGGAGCTTTCCCTGCTCCCAGCTTGGCTGTCCGCTTGCCTGGCCCGGAGCTGCAAGGGGCATGAGGCAGCACCACTGGCTGTGGTAGCCTTAAGGCAGAGGAGCAAGGGGCACGTGGGTGTGTCTGGAAGGTGAGGGATGCAGGTGTGAGACTGGAGCAGTGTTCCTGAGGCATCCCTGCTGCTGCTTCAGAGCCCTGAACATGAGCTGTGCTTTAATCCACCTCACTGCCCACTGCCTCGGCTAACCCGGTGTGACCCTGTGGTGGTGCTACTGTCTGAGGGCTGCATTAGGTGGTCAGATATTAGAGGTCCTTTCTGTTGGTTTAATTTGGTTCTCAATCTGACTCTGCTCTGTCCTGAGCACAATCAGTGCTCACTGATTCCTTCCATGAGAGCTGGAGTCACTTGACACTTTGATAATTCTGTTCTTTAGTCATGAGGCAGAAGAAACAAAATGATAGTAATGATGTATTTAAACTGTTTGGATCTGAATTGGGACTGTCAGGCTGAGTTGTGGTTGCTTGTGTCACACACATCCTGGAATTCAACGTTGCATAGTATACACTAATCTTAAATTGTAACTCAGGCACTACAATACAACACATCACGAAAATGTAATTAATCTGTATTGACAATGGAAGTGTAAATGAACTTACTGCTTAGTTTAGCTTTAATTTGTTGCATTTTATCACAAGCAATTGTATTTAAATTTAGCAACCAAATCAGGGTGAAAGAACTTTAAAACATTTTAGACAATCTGAAATGGCATAGAGCCGTATTAATCCACTGAGGTTTTTTGTACACAGATTTCTTTAAATAGTTTCTCTTGTCTTTTTTTTTCCCACCCAGATGTGATGCTATTCCCTCAGTTAGAATTCATGAGCATTTATCTAGGAACTATTTGTCTGGTTATCTCTTTTACAATATTACTACTGGCATCTTCATTTCTTTGGTAGACTTATCTACCAGAGTTATAAAGGCAAGAAAATATACATACAAAATCTTCACTATATTGAAAATATCCATACTATTACTGTACCCTATATTTTTCCTATCTTGATCTGAAACTTGAGCCATTTCATTTTCCGTGGTCCCCAACATCCCATCTACCTCCCTATCCTACCATATTTCTCAGCTAATAAATGAGAAATCATTCATTTTTTTCAGCCTAAGGGGATATATTTTAAGTTTCCCACTACCATTTTCACATTTTTTAAATAGGAGCAACTGTACTAAAAGACACAGGGAAATGAAGGAGGGGGGTGGTGTGATAAGGAAATCTTATTACCTTAATTATGTGGCAACTGAGATAGACATGCATACATTTATCTTCTGGTTTTGGGGGCTTTGTTTTGTTTTGTTTCTTATAGCAATGGATCAGCGACATCTGAAGATCTTTTCTGGAAACTGGATGCTCTGCAGATGTTTGTTTTTGATCTTCACTGGCCAGAACCAGAATTTGCCCACCATTTAGAGCAGAGACTTAAACTCATGGCCACTGACATGATTGAAGCCTGTGTTAAAAGGTACAGTTGTAATGATCACTTAAAAATTGGGAGAGATTTGAAAATTAACTATGCAGGGGTATACCAGAATCGTGTCACAGAAATCAGGGCAGTTCTAAAGAGATCATGACTTGCGTTTATTTCCAGCATCTGGCAATCAGCAATTTGGCAACATCTAGGAAATATCAAAGAGAATTTCCCCTCTATCTTTTCTGAATAGACCCTTGGAAGTTAATAAATCAAGTTTGTTTTTTCTGTTCCGTATTAGTGGCAAATATTAACAGAAATCAGAATTCTGCTAGAAGAAATCTTTCTTTTTTTTATACATTTTCCTCCCCCTTTACTACATTTTTCTTCATGTTCAGTTAATAGTATTATTTAATTCATCAATTTTAGAGTGCTGTCTCTAAGAAATATATTACAAACTATAAAGTGCATAGTCATCCAACTGAAAATAAGTTTTATAGTGCTAAACTTCTGAAAATCACAGAAAATATAGTGTTATTTCTCCTTGAGCTGTATCTTAGCATTATTGATATATTCTTTAAATTAATTATAGGTAGTCTGATGCCATAGCTTTCAGTAAATATCACTGAGTTTAGAAGAAATATCTGTATGTCTAGAAAATTTACAGAGATTTACAGTTAGGTGCTTCAGAAGTCTTAATCTGGAGATATAAAAATACAGATTTCTTTAAAAAATAGAAAGGGAGAAAATAAATTTTGTAGATAATTTGTGTTAGTCATAAAATGTATAATATTGATAAGAATGGCTAAACAAGCAGAGAATCTTTACAGATCACATAGTATTGCATTATTTTCTCTAAACACACTAGGAAAAAGTAGAACCTCAGGCTACGGGTATGAACCTGTTGCTAAAGCTAGAATGATGAAGTCATGATTAAAAAAACCCAGAAACATTTAAAAGAACTTTTCTATTTGATTATGAAAGGGGAATGATACAGGGAGTGGAATAAAAGTTAAAGCTCTAACCAAGAAAGGTAGGAAACACTAAAACTAAAGCAATCCATCTGTTCTAAAGAACTTGGCATAGAAACTCAGTCAATTACAGTTATCTAAGAAAACTTAGAAAAATGGTGAAATCTTAAAGGACTGGAAGGCTATTAGTATAATCTTAGTCTAAAAAAACATAAAAAGACTAGCAAAGAGATTCAGTGCTACTAATATATAGATTATATTGATTTTGATCTGGAAAAAGAAAAAAAAACTTTACTGTCTTATCAACAGGACTATAAAATATATTACTATTTTAGACTTAATACATAACATACCAGTCTTAATACACTAATTACATTTTTGTGTGGTTAAAGATACTATGTCAGGTAATAAAGATTAGAGTAGTAACTTAGAAAAAAAGTTTGGAATTCTTCTATTATAACTCTTTTTGTGATATTAATATGATCTTAAGAATTTTTAAAATGGAAATAGGATTCTTCTGTTCCAGTCTTCTAAAAATATTGTGTGAATCTCTGGTACCCGCATTTAAGAATAAGGATGGAAATAAAACATTTTATCTTTAAGTATGTTAAATTATAGTTTGTTTCAGTGACATTGCTCCTTATTTACACTAATGTGAAAAGAAAATAGGGGCTTTATATTATGTATCTCATGATATGTCTTAATTTTTGATATAAATGTTAATATTTTCTTAATATTAAACTCATTTTCTTTATTAAAATTCTCTTTCCATTAAAGCCAGAAGAGGATTTTTTCATAATTTTTCTTAGAAGCAAACATTTTATACAATAAACTGCATTTTAGCATAGCATTAAACACAGGGAAACATATTTTTATCTAGAAAGCAAGAAAATAATACTTTTATTGTTCAAATGAATTCACTGAAGAAGTGTAGAACCTTGAGATTACCATCAGTGCAATTGTTTATTGAAAGGTTGATATTCTGAATTTACAGAATTTTAATTCTAAAATGTTCTCCTGCATGTGTATATTGTTAAACCAACATGTTCAGCAAGATTTATACGTTTACTGTGCTGTTAAGAATTATCAGAGATACTCATATTACAAATTGTGTTTTAATAAACAGAACAAGAATTGCATTTGAACTGAAGCTGCAAAAGGCAAACAAATCAACAGACTTGCGTATACCTTCTTGTCTGTGTACAATGTTTAACGTCTTAGTTGACGCCAAGAAACAGACAGCTAAACTCTGCATACTGGATGGGGGCCAAGAGGTATGTGGAATTTTGTATGTTTAATTCTTATGTTCGGTTGATCTGAAACATCTCATACTGCAGACTGTCCTTAGATTAATTTCAAACTGAGATGCATCACATAGCTCTGTTGGTACAGAAGTGTGCATCAGCTGATCTCTAGAGGCATCATGCAAGACACAACCCCTTATCTTCCACCAGAGCACAAAGAGTGCTTCTGTAATTTGTTTGCTTTGACCTGTGAGTCTGTTGAACATTCAGAGGATTTCTTGACTCACAGCCCCTCCAGGAATTTCTCTCAGGTTGCAACAGAAAAAGAGCCCACTTCAGGACTCCTTTGTAATTGTAAAATAGAGCCAAAATATTGTCCTTTGCAGACAGGTTTTAATTTAGTAAGGTTTAATTTTACATGGATTATAGGCCTAGCATGCATGCCTAGGAATATGCTGAAAATAGAGGAAAGAAATTATCAGGTAATTTTATGGGGTTTTTTATTTGGTCTCCAAGGACAGGGACCGTTTTGGCAGTAGTCTGCTGCCAGGACTGTAGATGCTCCACAGTGGAGCACTGATGTGCTTTTGAAGGATATGTAAATTTCACTGATTTCTGTCACTCCCGTGTTGTCAGTCTCAGCAGGAATAATGTGTAAAATGAAAAGGGTATGCTATGTAGATTGGTGAGGCCACCAGAAAAAAATTAAAACTGTTCTTTCTGTGCTAATTCATTAGCATGTAATTTGGTTTGTAATTTGTTTGATTGGTTTTGGAGAGACAGTAAAAACATTTTTCAGAATTTGGCAGAAAAAAATGCATGTCTGCCTTAGGCACCTTCACAATTACACTATTTGGACATATTTTTTCAGTTGCTTTTTTTTGCATTTCTGGGCTGTGTTCTTCATTTCATTGACTGATCTTTTCAAGTGAGCATATTCAATGTAATTGTCTTTTTTCTTTCCTAATTCAATGAGAAACTCATCATTTTCCTTTTATACCCTGTCGTCTTCATTTTTCCTTTTGGTTTTCCATGACATGAACCAGTTTGCTAGTCAATGGGTAAGTGTCTTCTCATTGTTTTTTAATTTACGGTTTTTTTCGTTGAATATTAACAGCCACTTTTTATTTTAAATGGTAATATTGTTTTTCATGTTAATGTATTAGCCAGGCCCTCAGAATTCCTTCACAGTCTGACTGTGCAACAGACTGAGATCAGCTTCTCGATTCTTTCCTTGTTCCTCCTGGGCGATTCCAGATGAAGTCTTCACTTTTCTGCTTTTCAAACTCAGTGTCCTGTCTTACCAGGTCACAAAGTTTTGGGTTCTTTCACCTCCCAGTGAGGCTCATCAGAAGTAAACCACAGCTCTCAGCTCTCTATGTGAGCTGATGCTGCCGTTTCACCTTTCCCTTGTGTCCAAGCAGTAACCTGCACACACACGTGCCCATGCTGCTTCGGGGACAGGCAATAGCAGTAGCTCGATAATGACCTGCAGACAGATGGCACCGCCCCCTGCTCCAGGATGTGCCATTCCTCTTGCCTGCTCTGGATTATGCCTGCTCTGTCAGCCAGGCCACTGTCAGCCTGCTCTGTCAGCCATCTTCTTAAGAGTCAAATCATCTTCCACAAGGATCTGAAGTTTTGTTTTGCTGAGGGTGGCTGTTTTAGTGGAGATTAGCACTGAAGATGAGTGGGTTAGGGTATTTACGATCTCATTAATTTCAAAATAAATAATGAAAAAATTACTGTGATTCTAAAATTTACAATTATTGTGATCTTTAAAAAAAATATTAATGTGATTTTAAAATTATTTCTAAAGAAATGTCATGGTTTTGGAACCTTGTGGTTTTTGAAAAATTTGATTCAGTTCTTTTTTTGCCTTGTTCAGAAGTGAAGCTACCATTTATACTCCATTTCTACAAAATTATATTTGCTTTGTAGTGAGAAAAAAGAAAAAAACACAAGAAAAAAATATACAGGAACTGATCTGACATACATAGATCCATTAATTTAATATACTGTGGAGATAAAGTTGCAGGCACTTCCTGGGAGACACAACTGACTTTTTATGGATCGCAGGAGTATATATAATTTTGGCATTCATTAGTGGGAGAATAATTGTTTATGCTTTCCAGAGAGTAAGAAAGCATTGCTTTCTGAAGAATGGTAAGCAACAGATGTCACACACTGTTTGGGGTGATTGAACCCTTTAGCAGATCAAGACAATATTTTATTGGTCAAGACATTAATATGGTTGGAATATAATATATCAAAATGTAGAAAGTTCTTTGATGTATTTCTAATATGCTCTTCTACTATTCCAGTGTGACCACAGCTGTTTGTGAGTTGTGTATTTACATTTTTCAAGGTTTTTTTAAACTTTAAAAGACATTAAAAGCAAAAATTGACATTTGGTGTTAATACCTGTAGCAGACACATATGTGGGCAAACACATCTCATGGTTTTATTCTCTCTTAATTTAAACCCAAGTTCAGTATCTGTGGGTTTTAGAAAATCATTCCTAAAAATATTTAGCAGATCAGAATTAATGTTTTGATTTGTATGGCAACTCTGAAACAGATGAAAAATAGCCTTTAAAAACTTAGAATTCTGAAAAATATTCTCCTGGCAGCTGCTAAGTTAGGCTAATGTTTACACTGACCTCAATATTTTTACTCCAAGCATTATGCTGTTAGCTATTCCAAGTAGCCTTGAACTAGAAAGATAGGGTTAGTCTTTACAAGTCACATTTTCTGTGAAGTGGCTATTGGGGACAATCTTTGCTGTCAGATAAATGTTTCTAAAGGAAGAATTACTGTTTAAATTGATGTGCCTCCTTGACAGAATGGGATCCCTAGTTCCCGTTAATTTCAGGAGGATTATCTAAAAAGTCTTTTGGATTTATTTTAAAAGCATTTACTTAAAGGCACCTTCTTTATGAAAAAGCAAAAAAATAAGTCTATGAAGTCTGTTTTATTATGCTTTCTATGGCCTATTAATTTGTTACCATCTATTCTGCTTTGTTGATGAAATTTTAATTTTGTCTTTGCTTGAACATATTGTAAGATTTCTATAAACTGAAGCTCACTGGGCTAACAGAAAGGCTCTTTCAGGATGAACAATTGGAGCTCATTTTATTTCTAGAGGACATTTAAAATAACTTATGAATGAGAGTTGTCAGACATGAAATGCTGTATTAATTAAACCTTATTCTAGTCTTTTTTCTTCTCCAGCTAAACCAACCCTTTAGAAAAAAATACACCTTAATTATATAGGAGAAGACAAAAACTATCCTTCACATTCCTTTGCCTGAATAAGTATAAGAACTCAATTCATCTAAATAATAACCCCATTAGCTGCTTAACTCAACAGTGTACATGGGAAAATTTTCAACACAGAATGTAGGAAACTGTTGATTCGGTGGATCATTTTCAAGGGTTTGTTCTTCTGATGTTCAAAATGATAATTTTAAGTAAATCTGATCTGACAGGGTTATCAGCTTTGCACCATTTATGACTTATGTATACATGCTAATGCTTTTTTATCTTTTGAATTACAGCAACAATACCATTCAAAAATAGATGACTTGATTGAAGAAACAGTTAAAGAAATTATTTCACTTCTTGTTTCAAAGGTAAAACTATTTACATCTTAATTTATAATACAGCAGAAAATGGTTGAACTTTGGACATGTATTCAAATATCACAGTTTTTCTATGCACAGGAAAATTGTGAAGGACAACATAATTTGTAAATACTGCTAGTGAAAATAATACTGAATTTACAAAATTAAATTTTATAACAATTGAGTAAACAATTTCTGTGCTGCCTGCTATTGAGGTAAGTTTGTCTGCTGTGTTTCCTGTTGTAGATAGGAATTGCTAGCAGCCAGTAGAACTGGCAGGACTAAATTTTGTCAATCTGGCCTTACATAATACCATGTGTTATCTTTTGTTGAATTTCTTATATGAGAACTTTCTTTCTATCATTTAGTATTTAAATTTGGTATTTAGAGGTGGACAATACCCCGAGTTTCAGTTTAACTTTTTAATGAGATTCTGGTCCGCAAACCATTTAATTAAAAATATTTTATAAGTTGTTGTTTCTTGAAATTGATTTTTAGGCTTTTATATTTAGAAATAAAATTTATTTTGTAATGATATAAGGGTTCGGAGAATAAGTGAAAAAACCTTAAACAATGTCTTGTCTTTCTGTAGCACCTCTACTCCAGTAAAAATCTTAAATGATTGATATATAAAAAAAGTTTCCATCCCAAATAGTTTGAAGGGCACAGCAAATAATGACAGAAAAGAAAGATTTTATAAGAATTTTTGTTATCTAAACACTGCAAGGTGCTGAGAAATACCTGATTTTCAAAGTAAGATAAATAAGCAATATATCTACAATTTGTGCGTTAATGATAGAAAGTAAGACTCTAGTCATATTTTCAACATGCCTTTATTTTTGCTTCTCACATCTTGCTAGGGGGAATGGGAGATGGGAATCTGCTTTTTGGATTGACATCTATCAGTTGAAGATGAAGGCTTTGTAGAATCATTATAGAAGTTTCAAATAAATGTGTCCACTTTTTGGTAACTGTGTAGAAGCCAAACATTTTTTGGTCTAAAGTGAAGCTTTGATGTAAACGTAATTACAAGCAGTTCAACTCAACAGTTTCAAATTTTACATGTTGCCTATCATAGCTCCCAACTAATCTTCCAATTTATGGTTTTAATGTTATTGAAGAGGAAGAAAGGGGAATTCAATCAGAAAAATTCATTCTATTAAATGTTAAACTTTTTGATTTTTTTATTTTTTTTAATATCTGAGATTGTAAAAAAGGAAGAATATAGTCATATTCCTTCTGGATGTATGTACAAGAAACTCCAGAGGCAACTGCTGTCAATACAGAGGGATTTGTATTATTAGTTATCACAGTAATACCAGAGGATGAAATCTCAAAACAGGAACCAAATATTCTGTGTCATTGGCTGATCGCTGGAAGCTTAACCAGTGTCTCCTCACTTGAGGTGTGAAATGCCAGTGGCATCCTGATTGCTTCTGTTTCAAGGCAAAAAGCTTCTGAGGGTACAAAGGAAGGCTGAGGTTTAGCTCTTGATTTTGGCCAGAAAAAATGCTATCAGTGTGCATGATAGCCATATGCATTCATCTTTTGCATCTAACATATTTTCATTACTTTCCAGCCTTTACCTCTTTATTACCTCCTTTGTGTCTCAGTGGAATAAGTGTTTCAATCATTGTGTCTCAGTGGAATAATAAGTGTTTCAAGCATTGTTTTTAGCAGCAAGTTACTTATAAAACTGAAAATAACACTTTGCCTTCAGTGAGGTTTTACTTGTTAAGAACTGTACTGGGCAGTTTTTACACAAGACACATCAGTCTAAAGTGTTCAAGAAATCACAGGAATAGCACAAAACAGTGAAACAAAGCACAGTGTGTCTCAAGGTAACCAATTCATAGAATATGAGGTATGCACAGAAATGCTTTTAGAGTTTCACAAGTCCATACACTGACATCTTGGAAAACAAGTTTCCAGCTGCATAACTAAGCCTTTTGTTTAAACAGACATCCTTGACACTGAATTGTTTTGCTCTCTGTTATTTTGTGTCCTATTTGTATTGGATTCATATGTTGGCACTGCGGACACCATGTTGTTTATGAAATCAGCCTTTTCCCTAGCCAATCTTTGCACAATAAAGTTGAACACTTTTCTGCAGAAAGAATCCTTGTCAATCAGATAAAATGAGTTAAAGTATGAACAGCAGCTTCTCACAGGCATGCAACTGCAAAGCAGAAAGCTGGTATTTGGTCTAATAAAGTGAGAGCAGAAACAACTGCCACTCTCTCCCGTTATGTGGATTTATTCTTTGATTGGCACCTATGTACCAGTGTCTTAATTAACACTGTAAATATGACAAGTTAGATTGATAAATGACAAATGTAGGTGTGCACTTGCTCCTGCTCCTTGAACTGCTAAGAGCAGGGCTTATTGTAAAGTGATGATCTCAATTCCTCTGGAGGTGACACTGTTGTGACACTGTTACAGGGCCCATTAACAGCATGCCAGATGGAATTTTGTTCTGTCCTCACACTCATAAAATGATACTCTTGGTTGTGGGAATGACTGTGTTGAGAGCAGGGGATGACTTTTAAAACAATCTTTATATAAACTGGAAAGCAATTTATATGTGTAAAATAAATGTGTATGAATACAATGGCTGACAGATATTTTATGTTATATACTGTGAATTACTTGAGCAACATAACATCACAGAGGGACGTGAAAAGTGAATTTGTTTGCTTTAAGGCAAATTTGGGGGACTTTAAACATTGAAGTTGTAATTAATGCAATCAATGAGATTTTCTTTTTTGGTCAGAACAAAATTTTGGCAAAAACACCTATTCATACCTATTTCTGAGGAGTCACGCTGCTCAGACAATAGCAGGTGAAAGTCCAGGGGAGAGAAATCACATCATACCAGAGACTTTGGGCATATATTTTCTTGCCTCCTTCTTAGCCATGGAGTAGCAGCTCAACAGCTCATGCTGCTGGCAGAAAACCAGTGCTATTCCACTTTCAGGTGAAATTAGAGCTGGTTTTCTATTTAATAGCAAAGATAAGAGAAGCAGGGTATCACAATAGCCACCTTTAGCAATTGTGCTCTATCTTTGAAGCTGTGGTCCTAGAAAATAACATGTGATTTCCACCCAAAATACATGCTGGGTACCCACACTGTGTATATTCATATATATTCACCCACATTCTAGAGACAGCAATGCTGTGTTGGAAGCAGGCCTGCCTCAAGAGAAACCTCGGGTTGGGTTTCTATTTCTGCAGTGGTTCAGCAATTTCCGTCTGTTTGGTCAATAAGTGAAGCTGCAGAAAGAAGGTTATACTTGATTTCAGCACTTTGTGAGATGGAGAAACTGATCAGATTTACAGTTCATGTCGCCCTGCTGATCGAGACAAATATGAGGAAGAAAAATTCACATTCTTATTCCAAATATTTAATTTTCACACTGTGCATTTAGATCTTTCTCTGTGCTTTTCCTCCAGGTTGTTTCAGTGTTAGAAGGTGTGCTGTCTAAATTGTCAAGATATGATGAAGGTACTTTCTTCTCATCATTAGTTTCATTCACTGTAAGTGTTTGGATTCTCAAAGGTTCTGTTCTTCTTTCTGTGCATAATTCTGAAATGGTATGCAATTCGTAGTAATAAGTACTTACTATGTGTTTTATGCTTAATTTTCTAAAGGTAAAAGCAGCTGCCAAATATGTTGATGTTCCGGTAAGTATAACCCTTTTAGATTCATTTATTCCATTGTTCATAATAATTCAGAAATTAGGGGGGCTTTAGCTCACATTTCTTGTTGTTGACATTTTGCTTTCCTACAGAGATTCATTACAGCTTTACACAGAGTATTTAAACAGCCACTACAACCCTGAGAGGATGTTTCATTTCCCTTGTGCAATAAGTAACTCTCAAAGCAAACTGTAGAAAGGTTATTCTCAATGCACTTTTTCAGTTATGGAAGAGTGAGGATTGTAACTTAGATACTCTTTTGTGGGGAAAAATTGTTCAAATGTGTGGTGTAAGCAACAAGTAAAAACATCATACTTGAATATCCATTATTTCTTAATGTCTTACCTCAGGACTCAGGTCTGCTTATTTAACACCTTGATTGCTCAATCTCCATTTGATTTACCATTGGTTGTGCAATGTTTGTGTGCTATAAGTAGAAAATAAAGGAGCAACTGTTGGAGCTCTTTTATACATGAAGGCAAAATTCAGCTGTCAAATACTTTTATTAGAATATGAGAGTAGAATATCTTTTCTTTAAATAAACAAAACTATGTAGTGTCATTTTCACTGTCAATATCCCTTGTTCTCTCATAAGTCTGCATTCTCATCCCTTTTTAATGCAATTCTAAAAAAATCTTATTTTCCAAGTACAGCAAAAAGAGACTACAATTATTATATAAGTGACAATTATTATGCAAATGAAAAACATTAAATTAAAATATAGCTGATTGCCAGATATACTAAACTTTGTGGTGGCCAGCAAAACTTTCATCATTTCTATTTTGAAAAATGCAAGATTAAGTGATTATTTTTTCAATCCATGCGTGTTAAATAAAAGGAAAAATCTCTGTTTCTGGAATTTCTAATGTTGCGATCTTTATATTTGTTTTATTCATAAGATAAATTGTAACATTTCTGTTGTTTTCAAATGATGTTTTCAGACTTTTTTCTTATATTTTTGCCTTTTGATTTTTTTCTAGTTTTTTTTTATCTGTGGAAGTGCTCTTTTGTTTTATAAAAAAGAAAAAAGTAGACTGTCTTTCATTCAAAGCAATGACCTCATATCAAGTCCAGTTAATATAGTTTACCTTTTGTTAATATATTGTGCTGTCTAACTACAGCAAAAGGTCCTTGTTGAGGCATTTAAGACCCAAAGGCCTAAAAAGAAAAAATTAGTGGACAAACTAGGGCTTCTTTCAGGTAATATGGAAAACTCTCCAAATTACCTATCTATGAGGACTAAACATCAAACTCTTTTACCATTGGCCTGGATACATTGATGTTGAACTTCACAATAAAAATGAGACTGAAAAATACCTTTGCCACAAGGTCTGAGGAATATTGCAAATCAGGTGACACAGGGATGCACTCACTGTTCCAGAGAAAGAGGGAAGCAAGCGGGGAGATGGCTGCTGGAGCCCCTCTGCCCTTTTCACATTCACTGAATGGTCGTGCCTGGCTTGAAGAAAAGACCAGATTTTTGACAGGCTATCAAGATCCTTGCATTATTACAATGTCTTCACTTCCCAGATTTCTCACACACCTTTCCAAGCATTTAAACTGTAGTTCTACAGCTAAGCTACAAATGTAAACTGTGCTTCAGCAAAGCTGTGGATCTGACCAGACAAAGATTTCCAAATTCTGGAGATCTTTTTACCTGGATTGAAAGGTTTTCATAGGCTGGGGCTGCTTTTACTTCTTCAGATTCTTTTGTTGTGAAGATGCAGTTGACGCCAAGAGCCCTTACTGTCACAACTGACAGCAGCCATCCAGACTGAATAGGGCCTAAAATCACCAGATGTCAAAGTAAAAAATTCCAGCTGTAAGAGGAGGCTGAAAGTCGTCACATCTCAAGGTCATCACCTGAGCTCACAGCTGAAGTGAGAAGTGGAGTGAGGGGCAGCACACCGGGAGGAAGGTGCATTGAGCTCTTGGTGGTGTGACAGTGACCTAGCAAGCCTGCACTGGAGCTAATTAAATGCCTCATGGTTTTATTCTTACCTAATACGTTGTAAAATTCCTTCTTGTCCTTCCTTACCACATAGCTACATGTGTGAAAGTTGATTAAAAGTGACCACAGTCAGCCCTTTCTTTTGACGTAGCTGCAAATATGTGCAGAGTTGCAGTGTGTTAGACAATGACATTGTGCCCCACCTCCATCTGAGGAGATCACTTGGTGCATCTAGAGGAGAAGGGAGGGGGCACACGACAAGGGGCTCAGGGGGAGTTGTTTGAGTGTGTGAATTTGACAGAGTTTTTGATCTTTGATAACCAGAGTATGAAAAACAGTGAAAAATGTGCTGGTTGGTAGTGAAATAAAAAGAAACTAACTAGGTAAAAAAGATGTTAGAAGAAAGTGAAGGTAGTACCGAGAAAAACGTTTTAGAGGGACAGTAAGAGGTAAAGGGGATAAAAAAAGTTAAATAAAAGTAAATAAAAATAGTAAATTATTCAAAAGGAACGAAGACATTCTTAGATGATTTTTGGTCATTTTGAGAAAAAGGTTAATTCTATTAAAATTGAGAGACAATTTAGATAATAAATAGTTGAACATGAAGGTGCACACTCCCTAGAGAGCATCCCTCAATTTCTCAGGACCAGGGTGGAAAACATAGACACAGACTTGTGGTTAGTAAAAATGCTACATAGCCTTACTGTCTACCCCTCTATTCATTAATCTTGCTAGGGAATTATGATTAATTACATCCAAGAGAAGAAAACAATAAGTGGTTTTGTGAGGTTTTGTTAACTGTTTAAGAAAACATGCAGCATAAGCCTCATTTTTTCAGAATGCCCTTCAAGAAGTGGGACATATGCAGTCCCAAGGAGCTCTCATTGCTTTCCCCAGCTGTGCACAGAGTGCTATATGGACACTATGTATATTTTGCTAAGTGAAACAGAAATAAAAGCAATAGTGCAAAATTACCCAGACTAGGAAGGATAACAATGATGTCTTGAGATTTCCTAAAATTAATAACGAAAAAATCTAGCTGCTGTTATGCTCTCCTTATTGGTAATTGTCACAGCATGCAAGGCTCTGCAGTGGAAAAAGAAATGTGAGTGCTGTGCAGGCAGAAGTAACCAAATGTTTGGAAGAAAATAACACAAATGTTACAAGTAGTGTGTTAAGGATGACATTGGTTCTCTTTTTAATGCTGTGTTTGGATAACTGGGAATGCAGAAGCTGATTTGAATACACAACTCATCCAAATCATCTATAATCCTTCATTAGTTGCTCTTAAAGTCCAGGCAATCCATAGGAGATGTAGAAGTACAACATAATATTTTTCCTTTTTTTTAATAATCTGTTCACAAAGCAGGTTAATTAATGAGACTAGGGAAAGAATGCAGTAAAATTGAGGTTAAAAAAAAAGGATGTTGTTAATCTCAAATGATTATTATTCCTTAATCATGTAGATTATTTCATTGCGTTCAATTTCTCATCATGTAAGTCAGTTTTACATACAAATAATTGTGTCTTTAGCTGGTCATTTCTACACGCATTTGCTGCATTGACAAATGCAACCAGAGCAACTACTCGTACAAATTGAGCATCCAGTTACGTGTTCATGTATATACTGCCTTTTGTTCAGAAAGGTATGTTTAAATCCTTTTGTAGGAGCCAGTAATCTATGCCAGTTACTTAGAGGGCACAGAAGGAACCTAATCCTCCCTCTCTTCATATGGGCCACCTGTCATAGCAAGTGCAGAGAGGCCATTTGAAGCAGCCAGGGCTGACAGCAGTGCACAGCTCGCACAATGCCAGCCCTCTCGCTCCACTCTTGCCTTTATGTGGGGATCAAAGGTATGAAAAGGGGCCTCACACATGTGCCAGCATTTGACTTATGGGGTCTTGTAGAGGCCAGAGAAGGAACTCTGCCTCCTACGAGGCAGATACACATGGAGACCTTCCAGATACCTTCATTTTCAAATATGACATTTGTACTGCATGGCCTCATTTAAATGATTTTAAGAATCAAAAACTTTTTGAGAGAAGTAAGTTTATTCAGGTGTGGCTGTACAGTGCTAGTCATTTTTAAGCTGGATTTTCTTATAGAACTCCATTTTAAAAAAAAAAAAAAAACACAAAAGGGGTATTATCTTTATGCTCAGGGCTTCTCCTGGCTTCCTCCTCCTCTGTATATCCAGACCTGGGAACTGGCTCTTCTGTTTTCTGATCTGTGAAAACAAGCTATTATAGAATTGGAGGGAAAGCCCTGCAGCATCTGTTTTAAGTCAGCAGTATTTTTGAGATACCTCTTAAATGGCAATCAGAAGGATGACTACTAATCAGTAGGAAAGCTAAAATAGCATAGTAAAATATAACTTTATGGAGGGGAAAAAAAGGATATTTTATTACCGAATTTTGTCATAGGAGCTGTAGTGGTTTGAAGACCTTTTGCACTAAGAATCAAACTCGTGGTGCAGACATTTGCATGCCTGTGTTTCCTCATGAATGCAATGAAACTGTATGTGTATGAAAAGGTGTCTGTGTAAATGCTTGCAGAATCAAGTTTAAATTTTCCATACTTCTCAAAATACACGCATTTTCTCTTTGCCAAAGTTGCTGTTTCTTTTCAAAAAGATGTTTGAGAGAGAGCATTGCATTTTTTTCATTTAAACAAAATAATTTCTTTTATAACCATGTGAAATTAAAATGTTACCTTTATAATAGACTGATTATGCTAATGGTACATCTTCCTATCTGGCTTATGTATTTCATTTCGTAAGAATTGATGGGGATCATGATCTAGCCATGGATACAAGTAGTTTTTATTCCAAAAGCATTTTAATTATATTTTAAGTTTGTAATTCCAAAGCCCAAATGATGAGCCTTGCAGTATTTAGAGAAGAACTTTCAGGCAGTGAAATTTTCCAAAATGGTCTTTCACTTAGTGGTGGACACTGAATAAGGAGCTCCTGTGTTCCTCACAATAGCCCCCTCCAGCTCATCACTCCTTTTCATTGCATTGTTACAACCATGCTGTAGTTAAAATAACTCCCTCCAGAATGCAAGGGAGGGGAAAGAGGTGGAAAGGAGAGCAAACACAAAACTGGATGAATTTTGTTATTGTATAGTTTGTCTCTAGCATCTGTTCTCATCTTTGAAACATCAATGCTTTGGCAGGATAGCAACTCGGTAAAATTAGTGTAGTAGGTTGAGGGTGGTTTCTTGTTTCTTGAACACAATACTCTTTTTCAGAGAGTTTTAAATGAACTTTAAATAAGTTCATTTAATACTCTCTGATGCTAAGAAATGTTCTGTGACAAATGCCAAAGTGAGAATAAACATAAGTCAAGTATTTAAAATGTACATGATTTTCACTGAGATTTATGCCAAACTGTTGCATTGCAAAATGCTGTTCAGAAACTTAGGTGTACCTTGCCTGTAGGAAAATGGCTAATATTAGTGGCAGCATTAAACCCACTGCAATCTTTCAGCAGCAAAATTTTTGAATGCCTGGAAATTAAGGCAATGAAGCATTACTTTTCATTCAGACAAATATTGCCAGTGGGGGCCAGGCATGTCAATCATAAAACAACTTCTACAACATCTTGGAAACTGAAATAATGTATTTTAACATTTGCCTCCATGTTAAATTGACACTATGGCACTGTTTTTCTGTTCAGATGGGGAAAATTAGGCTGTTTCTTTTTTATCTGAATTTATTGCTATGAAAAAGTGCCTGGTGGTCAGGACCCACCTACCAGTGAATAGTAAGAGACAACCTGCACCTGTGGGATTAGGTGCAGCAGCAGGAAGTAAGAGCATTTGCAGTATATAATTAACAAGGATTTTAAATTTTTTTTCCCCAAACAGCATGTTCATCTTGCCAGGTTAACTAGTGATTAACCCTAAAAAAGAATGTGCTGAAGCCTACACCCTTGTTTAAACTCATTCACTCGCCAGTGTATTCAGTTACTTGTGTAACCAGTGACAAAGTAACCCTATTTACAACTCTTAATTTCCTGGTATTTTATTTGATGTCTTTGTGTTTCCAGTTTCTCTATTCATCTCTTTGTCTGGTTCGCTTTCATTTTCAGATAGGCAAAACAGCTTGTCTTCTGTTTTGAATAAAACAAACTTATAATAACTTTCTATCTATCATAAAAAACACCCACTTTTTTTTTTTCTTGGGGAAGCTTTCAGATGTTTTTTTTTTTTTGTATTACCTGGATAACATACCAGGTTAAATTTTTCTCCCAAAGATGTGCAAATAACTCTCATTAACTTCAGCAGATGTTCTGCCAGAGATTCGGAGATTTTTTTTTAATTGAGTATGGATGTGGAGACGGGAATGCTTTAGTCTTTTCAATTAAATGCCGCCTGTGACAGTTATTTAAAATATGTCTCAGTTCCTATTTGTTTGTCTTCTAAGGTACATGAAACTTCTTAGTTGTTGTTTGTTTGTTTAACTCTATATTAACTTGGGCTTTTTCTGATGCTTAATAATTTAAAACAGATCAATAGAGGATAGTGTAATCACAGGTTTCCAAATAGTACATAATCCCTATTTTAAAAAGTTAAAACATTAAATATACAGCATTAAAGCTACTTTGATTCTTATAATAGCTTTCTTTTCTTCTTCCACATGTTCAGAGAAAACAAATAAATTCAATGCATGCAATATGAAGGGATAATGAAGTATTTGATATACTGTTGGTTCATTCAGTGTTTAGTGTGTACTTTGCCCACCCAGAAAAAAGATGATTAACCTTCAATGATTTTGGTGTCGTTTAAAACAGACATATTCAGAGTATTGATAATCTGCCTTTCCCAGACTTCCTTCTACTGTAGTCAGACACTGTTTAAAAGGAAAATTAATTTTTTTTCCCCCAGCAATTTCAAAGATAATTATCCTGCACACATTAAGAAGGATGAAGTGTTTTAAAGAACTGTAATTCTAATTGGTAAATGTCACCAGCTGTTGCAGTTACTCTTACTTGTGTATATTCTTTTAATGATTACACTCCTGTGCCACAAGCTACATGAAAATATATTCACTAGGTGTGAAATTCCCATATGTCACAGCTTCAAGACTAGGTAAACATCTCAAAGATAAGGGAGTTAATGCTGATGGGAAATGTTACTTTTCTTGGTTTGGCTGTCTGACATTTTTTATTTAACTTAGTAAAAGAAAATATTCTATTAATTGCAGAACCACTAGGTTTTAAAATTCAGTGGAAGATTCACTAATACGTTTGAATGTGTATCTTCAGCCTTTCATATACTAGGTTATCTCCTTCACCCATCTCTGGAGATTTCAAAATATTTTTCCATTATTGCTCCAAGTTAACTCTAGTACAATCCCTATAAATTGTGTATCAGGTTTTAGAAAGTACATAAGGTTTCAATACTGATTTTATTATCTTGTGCCATCACAAATGAGTATACTAAGGTAAAATATGGAGTTTTCTGTTTTAAATCTGCTTCACTTTGTGATTTGTCTTAATATAAAAGCATTTCTGTCACATTTTAGTGAAGGTACCTTTTTTATGAAGATCTGTTGATTTCTGTCAGTCAGGTTTTCCAACAGAAAATGTTTTGTCTATTGAAGTCTTAGATTTTTTATTCTATGCTTAGGGTTTAGGTGTGTGATGCAGGTGTAAATATCAATGATTTTGCTTTCCTCTTAAAGAGTTCTATATATACTTTCATCTAAGCATGTATAGATGGGATAGGTTTTTGTGATGGCCTTTCATTGCCTCTGGAATGACCAATCCAAATGTAGGAGATATTTCAGGTTTTCATTGTGAGTTTTGGAGATACTACAAGTATTATTCCATATTTAATGGTTACTTTTTAAAAATGAAGCTGCCATATATGCACATGTATAAATGAAAAATAAAATCTTTTTATTTTGGAACATATTCCTCTATATGTCTGTGGTAGATTCAGGGTAAAAGAAGTTGAAACTTATAAGCTAAGAGGTTTCACTCACTGCAGCTTTGAGGAAAGAATGCTGTCATCCTGTTACTGTAATAGGCTGACAGCGGTTTCTGGAGAAGTTTTAGTATGGACATGTTGTACCTCTCCTTCCGTGGTGTGCTCAGACCTGTTCATATACGTTGCAAAATATTACATACAAGATAATAAGAAATAAGAAAAATTTACTGTTGAATATTCACTTGCAGACTAGAAAGGAAGCCTTAAAATAAAATTATGTGTTAATATTTTAACTGCATGAGCATATTCATGCATACAGGCTTTTAAAATAGGCTAAATATTTTACAGCGTTGTTCATATCCTATTTTCAGACAATAACAGTTTCTGAGAAATAGACATGTCTTATGCTTGGGAGTTCGTGGTTTGGGTATAACTGTTTTTGTCCTCCTTCCCTAGAACTATTTATTATTCTGTATGGAGTCTTAGCAAAATCTGCATCCTTTATAAATGTTAAGGCTCATGTTAGGGCTTACTATAAAGTGTTTATAAATCCTAGCATTCTTTTGCATGCCAGGAGCATTATAAGCTATTGTTTGGGAGTAGCAATACTTTTACAAGCTTGCTCACACAGAGTGCATTTGCAGAAGACTTCCCAAAGTGCCTGTGTGCATTTGTTAGAAAAAAGTGAACTCCTTACCAGCTCTGCATACACTGCCAGTAAAGGGCAAGTTGCAGGCTGTTAGGAGTGTTATTGTGGAACAGCTTTTCATGACTGCAAGATCCATAGCTGGATCCTAGAGCGATTCAGAGGAGTGAGCAGTTTCAGCCACCACTGTGCCTGTACAGCTGTAGTATCGCATATACACAACATATCCTAGCCTGGCTCATGTTTGGGGCTGTGGTATAAAAATTATGCCTGCTCTGCTATTCATACAGAACATATATTGGTACAAGAAGGGAAAAACTTTCGTCCTTGCTCCTCCCCTGGCCATCCTTTGAGCTAACTGCACCAGTGCAACAGTTTAAAAAATATAAGGGTACAGGACTACACTCAAAACAGCCTTTTTATGCTGTTTGCTCTCAGGGATGTGCTTGAACTTAGTTTGAATTACAGCTAATTGAAGCTAACGTCAAACACAAAATTCAGCTGTACATTGGAAATAAATTAGAAGAAATCTTAGGCAGTGAAGAAGGAACCGAATGCTTTTTAAAGCATTTTCTGAATGTGATAGCAGGATTTGGATCTCCACTCTCAGGCTGGAGTGGATGGCTATCAGAAGAAGGGGAAGATGTCTGAGTTTGCCACTGATGTTGCCAGAGCTAAGACTTCATTCAACTGCATATGGCAATGTAGATTTATGACTCAGAACATTCAAAAATTAAAACACGTAGAACTACATGGATAGTGAAACTTTCTGAATATGTTAACTAGCGCAGAATTTACAGCAGATTTTGTTAATAAAGTTTGTACATGTATGAGCATTGTAACATTTGTTTTCATCATGTTTAACTTCTTTTAAGTCTCAGTCTTTGTTGAGAGGTTTGTCTTTGCCTTCCCCTCACTTTTTGTATTCACAGAAACCAGGAATGGATCTAGCAGACACCTACATTATGTTTGTTCGGCAAAACCAGGATATCCTTCGAGAAAAGATCAATGAGGAAATGTACATAGAGAAGTTATTTGATGTAAGTAACTAGCCTTGCCAAGTTTGGTGGTATCAGAAGGGATAATCTGGAGTTTGATGATGTTCAGCAAGCTGGTTATATATCTGTCTCTGTTAAAAATTTTTTCTTTTGTTCATTATCTACAAGCTTCAGCTGTCAAGGGCGGCCTTTCTTTAAATATTTTCTGCGTGGAACTTTTAAGTGCTAGAAGACAGAAATAAAATTAGTAGAACATTATTATTTGAAATAGTAGTTTTTTCCACTGCGAATAATCCAATTATATTCCATCTTTTGATTTTTAATTTTTTAATTGAGAGAATTGGATTGGTGTGGTTTGTGAATTCCATTGCAGATCAAATTTCCCTAAATTAAGAACTTTTACATATCACTGCCTGCTTGTATACAGAAAGAGTACACAGGTGCTGGGTACATCTGTGGGTTTGACTGGTACTTCGGTGAAATGACTTTTAGAATATTATTTTATGGATTTCCAGTTTAAGACTTCTAATTTCCCAAAGTTGACATTTATTGAATTGACATCAACATTTATTGAATTTTCAAACTCATTTTCAAAGTTCTAATGTGACTTCTGCAAGTTCAGAGTAATCCTCATCTTCAAGGTGCATGCAAAAATTTTCCTCAGCTTTGATAATAACTTCTGCAGCCTTCTTCCATTCATTCATTTGCTCTGATTCCTCATCTTTTTGTTAGAAATGATCACATTTCAGTTAATGCAAGTTCTGACTGCTAATTTATGTCTAGTATGTCCTTTTCTTAATTGCCTGGAGAAGAAGCTGTAGGCAGCTGAAATAGTACCTTCTATATAAAGTACTACACGTGTAAAATATACATAAAATAAAAGCTGTTTAACTAAAAAAACTAAACTAGAAAAACTTAACTAAAAAGCTTGGATCAGTTTACATGACAATTATCTCAGTCACAATTATATAGGAATGTGAACAGGAAAATAAGTAATCTCTGGCACTGTAAAATGGAATTTATTACAAAACTAGTTCTGGAATGCAATATAGACTTTGAAATGTATTTATTTGTATTATCTCCTAAGTATTTTAGAAAGCTTTGCTGGCAGTTTCATTTAATTATGCAAGTTACAGCAAATGTTTTCATAACAGCAATTCACAGCCTTTACTGTGACACTACAGTTGTGGCAGTCACAGAAGGTCCCATTACATAAACTCTCAGCCATGGTATGTCATGTCAGTGTTTGTTGTTTGTTTGACTGGGTGGTCAAAATAAGACCTAACTCTCAGATTTTATATTTCCAGACACTCCCAGACATCTTCTCAAAAAAAAAAAAAAAAAAAAAAAAAGTATCATCTGTTTTAATAAGCTAAGTGCTAATATGTGTGAAAAGAATGATTTTATAAAAGCATTGATGCCCTGCAGGGGTAGAAAAATTATCATCCATCCAGCTGGCACCTTCACAAAGTACTAAAACCGTATTAGCAACTTCTGCTTCAGTTTGCTTTTGCAATGAATCTGCAAGCATATGTTTCATTTTCAAGTTTCTTTTTTTATTTTATTTTTTTATTTTTCTTTGGGGTTATTTTTGCTTTTGTTGTCATTTCCTGAACGTTAATAAAATTATCTGCCTAAGGCCAAGTCTAACTCTCACTGGAGAGACCATGTTGACTTTTTTGATGCAATGGGGTGGGACTGAGTTTGAGGCTGTGTCAATGTGGGGCACTGGCCAGGGCCTGGGCATGGGCCTGAGAACTGTCAAGGGATCCTCCATACTGTTAAGCCATCAGCACAGTTCCTGGCATGTTAGCACTAACACAGGGACAGGGCTTCAGCAGGGCTGGGTTAATTTGGGTTAAGGACCTCTTCTGAATTTCATTCCATCAATTAAGCTTTTCAGCACAGGAAAACATCTCCTGTATGGACACAGTTTCTGATACAGCATTTGCCTTTGAGTTTGCAAACCCATTTCTGTTCCCTTTTACTCAGTAGTATACATTGTATGCTGCTGTGATCAATGCTTGTATCTGTAAGAAAAGAAAAGATACATACATAATATCTGTTTTTTCTATCAGATATCTATTAATGTCTTTATTTTTCTTTCTAAATGGTGGTATCACATTTCTCTGTAACATCACACTGGGAGATATAATTGATTGGACAGATGCAGCATTAAAAAAGCCTTAACAAATATGGGAGCTCATAGCATGCAGAAATGTAAAATAAAGTCATCTCACTCTGTTAATTCAGCTTTCCTGACATTAACTCAGATTTAGAACATTATGACTAAGATTTTGCAAATTATTTTTGAAGGGTTTTTTTAAATCATTGCTTTAGGAAAACCTAGGTACTCTTTTTATAAATTCAAATCTATCAAGTTATATTTCAATAGAAAGAATAAAATACCTTCACATTTTTATGTAAATGTACTTGAAACCATTGAACTGGCTAGAATTGTAGTTGTTTCCTCTTAAAACACATTGAATTAGTATCAGCTAAGTAATCATCCACCAACTGAAAGAGGAAAAGTACTCTTTCCTGTGCTTCAGCCAGGGAAATACCTCATCCAGAATAACAAAAAACCTGACTGTTCTGTGTGCTAGAGGTCTTAGTTATAGAGAAGATTAGGCCTGAGACACTATTTTAACCCCACAAAAATGTATAATTGCAAAGTATTTATGTCCAGATATCACTGACTTGATCCAGGACTGCTATGTGCTAACAGCTATTACGGTGACCAAGTGAACAGCATGTCTATCACACAAAGTTATGTACATAACAAAGATCATTTAAATTTAAGAATAGTATTCATACAAGTTCAAATGCCTGCCAGTGAGTTAAAATATGTTAAGGCTAGGAGTTGTAACATTTTTTATCTACCTGAGAAGGTTCTAACTGGAGAGAAGACAAAAAAATATGTGGTGTTTTATGGAGGTGTTTGGTAAGCCTATAAAAGCAGTGCCCTGCTAGTGTCCTAGACAGAATATTAAAATAAGGAGAATGGAACTTCATGTTGTAATATGAACCCTTAAGTATGAAAGAGGTTCAAATCTCCAATGACTTTGAAAAAAGACTGGGCTGGTAGTTTTTTCTGAACTGTTTTCAAACCATTTAGATCTTTTGCTTCAGTACATCTGCTGATCATGCAGCAGAAACAAGGTGGAATTTTTTTTCCTTCATTTCCACTGAAAAACTCAGCTTCTGGGTACATTTCATTATTACCTCCTCCAGTAGGACTGTAGACAGCAGGCGGAGTAATATGTCCAGGTGCTCCTGGTAGCATTGGTCTGTCCCAGGTCAGCGTGCTGCCTTCTTGTTCTCAAAACTAGTCACCAGGTTTGAAGTCACAAAGATTTTTCACTTGGTCAGTTTATCAAAGACATAGGAATTTTTGCCTTCCTTTGCAGCATGGGACATTGTCTTCTTCCTAAAATCAGCTAGGAATTTAGCTTATCAAATTCCTTATGTCACAGGAATTCAGGGCGTTTATCTCCTGCTCTCATGCAGTAACAGCTTATAGTTGAGGGCATGAGGGGGATGGAGAGTAGTGTTTATTTGTTTTGAACATCACATTTCTTAGAGAGCACTTGAAGCGGTGTTGTAATCTATTGCGTATAATTAAGCTCTGCAGTAGCTCTGGGTTAATGTTTTAGAAACAGTATATTACTTTAGTTTGGTTTTTTTGTAGTTTTGGAAATATTTTGTCAATGTTTTCAGAAAAGATAGTAAATCAAGTTGGGGAATGGAAAAATTAAATATTTAGAATATAATTACACAAACCTAGAATAAGTAGAGAATATTACTAATTATTATTAACACCTCTCTTATTTATAAAGAAAATCCATTTAATGGATAATATAAGAGCATCTATGCAGTCTATCAAAAAACAGTTCTGTGTATCTGATCACAAAATTATTAGATTTTTAAAATGCCCAACTATGAAATGCCCGTAGGATCTGGTTCTACCTTTTCAAAATCAATAGGCCTTTTACCATTAATTTTTATAAATGCAGTGTGTCCATAAACATGCCAGGTTATTCCCGTTGACTAGACTTAGATTCATGTTTCTACTAGAACTTTTAGGATGGGACTAATAAATCTTGAACTCCTAAGCATATAGGTATATTAAGATATACACCAGACTTGTAAATTTAAAACTATTTCCTTTAAACAAAATTGGATTGTGTTGACAAAACTCCTGAAAAAGCATTTCTTTTAACTTTGCATACCACTCTGTTAAAACATTTATGGAGTACTTCTTTTCTGTAGTAATGTCTAGTTCCTAAGTGCCACTTGGGTAGATTCTCACTTTCTTGTACCTGTGAATCGCATATGAAGTATGGATATTCATAAAACAGAAAAAAAATTCCAGATATTTTTGCTTCAGATTCCTTCTTGGTATACTTGCCATTGAAGCAGTCTCTAACAGGTTATATTTGTGTCTGTTGTGGAAAACTTGCGGTGTAAACAGAGGTATGATTACAGTTCTATTAAGACAATATGTGCAATGAAATCTTTATGCAATAAGTGGTTGCTGCTCTGAGAAATAAAGAATTGTTTCAGAGAACAGCTTTAATGCATCAGTGTTCAGCCATTGATACCACTGAAAGAGTTTCCAATTTTTTTAGGCTTTAATTTCTGGGAAACCTCTTCCCAAGGGTACCATAAACACATAAAATTGTCATAGTGCACATCCTGGAAAGGTGAGCACTGGAAAAGTAGTCCCCACAGTTATCTTGTGCAAGATGGAACCTGTGAGCAGATGTTGGCTTTGGCCCTGATTGCCCATCTCCTCTGAGTGCTAAACTGGTGTGGTGTGATGCAGCATTCCTGCTGACTTTGCAGGGACTGCCCATGTGGGAGGACTTCCTGGAGGCTGTGGCCTTGTGCGTGGTAACAGTTCAACAGGACATGTAAGAGTTGTATTTGGCAGGGAACTCATACAACTGTCTTTGGAGTGCCGAAAGACTGAATGTCTTTATGAGCAGTTTAAAAGCTTTAGTGCTCCAGATTTACGTAGCTGATCTTGGCTTTTGTAT